TTTTCATTGGTGAAATTAAAGGAACAAGCTCTCAATTTGGTCATTTGTAATTTAGCAATCCAGAATACATGTACCCATGCTCTGTGACTTAGATATATTACTGGTTTAGATGCATATGGTAAATGTACCAACCAGATCGACCAGATTGAGAACTACAAAAAAACAAAAACAAAAACCCAACTCATTATTTTATCAAAGAGACTTTGAATGTGCTTAATACAGTATAAAGATCTGTGTAAATTAGAAATCAAAGAAATGATGAACTGTTTGACTGCTCTCTATTGATATTCATGGAATGTATACATTTTATATTTTTATTCCGCAATTTCACTACTAATTATTATTTTTTGTTTTGAATCTCCTTTCCTCTTCCCTCTGGATGTAAAATTAATTCCAAAACACCATTTCATGCTTCATTATCCCTGAATGAGAGTTGCTTGTGGCCTTTTGAACCATTTGTGAATCATGTGTAGTTTATGTGTAATATTCTCTCTTCTAAACAGTATAGGTCATGTAAATTGTGATTTTTCAGTATGTCATCAGGAGCTGTTCACATTCAGGCAGAACAAATATAAGAAAACTCTTAAGTACTGCCTGTTTACTGAGAAGGATGGAGAATAGTTCAACAGCAACCAATTAATTTGAAATATTTTTATAGAATTCATTATCAAGAATCCATTAATACAAGAAATGTTTGTCATGTTTCCTTAGAAGTATAGGAGGTCATCCTTCATATTGGAAATTAGTAACATAGTAACATAGGATTATTTCCTTTTCATGGACATTGGGCTCATAGGCCCAGCTCTTTAGGAGAAAAAACATTCTGCTAAAGCAGGGGTAGGCAACCTAAGACCCAGGGGCCGGATGTGGCCCCCCGAGGCCTTTGGACTGGCCCCAGGCCAGTCATGCTGCTGCTGCAGCCGCCATCCGCCGCCGCTGCTGCCGCCTGCCATGATGATATTGATTATTGTTGTTATTACTTGTTCTTGGGGTTTTCTTGGCAAAATCTCCACAGGGGTTTTGCCATGGCTTTTCTGGGGCTGAGAGAATGTGCATGCATATTTATTTATTTATTTATTTATTTATTTATTTATGGTGCTTTGGCCCCCCAATTGTCTGAGGGACAGCAAACCGGCCCCCGGCTCAAAAAGGTTACCTGCCCCTGTGCTAAAGCATAGAGACCATTTGCTATCACTTTCTTTTTTGATCAAAAAGTAAGTTTTTCTCAAGGGAGAAGGAAATGGGGGAGATGGTGAAAATGAACATGTAGCCTATGTCATACTCCTCTATTTGAAGGATTGTCAAAAAATGGCTCTCTCTTTGAAGATGCCTGCTCTTTCAGAGTTGCTGGATTTCAACTTCTGTTGATGACAACATCCATAATTCCATCTAACCCATTAACCCAACCCCATATGCTGCAAATTATCTGGTAAAAGAGAACACTGCAAAAGGTACAAGCAGCAAGCAGTGGCATACCCTCCAACATTTCACAGATGAAAACCAGGAAATGCGTGGTCAAGCAATGTCAGAGTGTGGTCAAGATGGCAACTGTTATTAATGAGGATGAACTCACAAGCAAGAGAGGTTGCAGAGGTTTGCCTTTGCCCAAGCCTTCTGGGAAAGGCAAGATTCTGCCCCCTCCTCTTCTCTCCCTCTGATGAGTGAACTGAGTGCAAACTGAGGCCCTAAGCAGACGACTAATAAAGTCATCTTCTGGGCAGAGAAGAGGAGGGGCAGCCGCACGAACGGCGCCCCTTCCTCTCCCCGAGGTCGCCCCCAGATGCGCCGGCCGTCCACACGACCGGCGCATTGGGGATGACCTCACGGCACAGCGCCCACATGCGCTGCGCCGTTTGAGTCAGAGAAAGTGCGCCCGCCGCTTTTGCGGCACACTTTCTCTGACATCTAAAAGGCGCGCCAATTTGGTGCTCCTTTTAGAGTCGCCGGCGGTGCGCCTGGATGCGGAGGCTGCAGCCGCGCGGCGCTCCGTTCGGCGGCGGCTCCGGGGCCTCCATCTGCTGAGGCCCTGAGATAAGAAACATGATGAGCCTGATGTGCCCTGCCTTAGAGCTCTGCCTTAGAGTTTTTTGGAATGTGCTTACTAAGGCTAACACTGATAAGTAATCACATACTGACCAAATCCCTTGAGCATAATCAATAGGATACCAACAAGGGGTGGGACAGTAGGGTACTTGCCTCATTGCCTTATTCTGCACCTATGTGGCATTTATAAGCCAATCAATTGTAGAAAATATAAGGTTCTTAATAGGATAAAAGCTTTGTTTGCTTGTTACCCAGTCTACTATTTTTTTCTGCTTTCTTTGGTGTACCTGACAGTGCTGTTGCTTTAAATAAAACTTCATCGCTCTCAGTTTTGTTGCCTGCCTTTCTCACAACACAAACTACACTGTTTCAGCAACTGAACTGAGAACAAAAGGAGAGTGGGAAGAAGACATTTCAAAAGCAGCTGAAAAAGTGGGATGACAGAGGATTAATTGGGAATCTCTCTACCAAATTGGAACAGTTGAGGGCAATGCAGTAGCTCTAAGACTAAGCTCCTATTATATATTGATTAATCTGATTTGATATTATTTATAATCTGCTTTTCTCCCAAATTGGACTCAAAGAGGCTTACAATATAAATAAAAAGAGAACATCCAAAACAATATGGAGTACAAAACTTTTAAAAGCATTAAATTGGACATTCACTTAAGACCTTGCAATTAAAACATTAAAATTAAAACCATGGAAACCTGTAAAATACACATGACAGACCAAAAACAGCAGACCCAGTTGCACATTACTCCACCCTGGTAGGCCACAGGTGAAGACCTGTCTAAACAATAAGATCTTTACCTGTCAGTGAAAAGACAACAGAGAGGGGGCAGATTGAACCTCCCAAGGGAGGGAGTTCCAAAGCTGAGGAGCA